TAAATAAATAAATAATAAACAAACAGTTCAATGAATAAGCTAATAAAATCTGCCTGCCTAAAAGACAAAAATATACTTCTTCTCGACTCCTCATATCAAGTCTGACCTTTCTTTGTCCAGAACCTCATGCTTCTACTATGTAACACTTTTCAACCTAGGAGTCAAATGTACTCTCTGGTTTCTATCTGTACAGTCATGGTACCTGTCCCCACACATGTCCTAAGAGGATCAAACTGGTGAGATGACCAGAAACTGACAGGTCCCCATAGTTCCCATGTGCCCTTGAAGATGGGACAGAGAATGTACCAGAGTTTCATCCTTGCCCACAGTTCAATACCATGGGGAACTTAAAAAAATTAACTTTACATCTCACTCAAGTTAAACCTGAGTTTCTAGGACTTAGAATGGAGTGTGGTGTTTAAAAATCTCCCTAATAATTTCACTATGGCCCAAGTTAAATGGGGTGAGGCTGGGACGTGCCAGAAAGGAAGCCCACAGACAAAGCAATAGGAAGCACTTTGTTCTCCTAACGGGAGATTGAGAGGAGAACGCCCACTCTGGGAAAGCAGCTGCTGTTCTCCAATCATGCTGCCCTTCCCACCCCTGGGGTCCTCACTGCGGTCTAGGCTCCACTTCTCATCCCCTCCCTCTTAAAAGAGACCTTTAGGTTAGGTGCCCTTATTGGTGAGGTAACGGGAACTTGCCCCACGTACCCTACGCTTTTAATACAGACCATGCTATTCACCAAACATCCCAGCCCCAACCTCCACACGGTTGTACTGTCTTCACCCTCCTAACTGGTCCTTCAAACTGGAGATTCCGAGCAGCGAGTCCTAAAGCGCATCGATGGAACGTCCATAAGTCCACGAAGAGCACTGTGGAAGCATGCGTTTCAGGGTGCTTAAGGGAAATGGAACAGAGAGCAACCAGAGAGCCAAACATCAGAGCGGTTCCATCCTCCCCACTGTGAGAGTCACTGGATACAAAACAAAACAAAAACCATGTCTCTAGGACCCAAGATGGTAGAGAAAATGCATCCGAGCACAAACGCCCAGGCAAGTACATGCCGCAGCCAGGGAGGTAGGACCCTGACCTAGTCTGCTTTCTATGGCTTTGATGAAACACTCTAGCCAAAACCAACTTCGGGGGAAAATTTATTTAACTTAGACATCCATGCCACAGCCCATCTTTAAGGAATGTCAGGACAGGAACTGGAACAGAAACCATGGAGGGGCACCCTTCGCTGGCTCACTCAGCTAGCTAGCTTCCTCACATAGCACAGGTCTAACTGCCGGGGAAATGGAGCCTCCCAACCCCAACAGAGTGGGTTGAGCTCTTCTACATCAATTAACAGTCAAGATGATTCCTCACAGGTGTGCCCTCCGACCAACCTGATAAAGACAATTATTCAGCTGAGACCACTTTTTTACAGATGTGTCGAGGCTGTGTCAGGTCGACAAATGATAACTCAGGCCACAGCCTAGTTATACAGTGGAAGTTCATGTTCCTCTAACATCCATGTGTTGAAAACCAAAGACTCCGTGTGTTAGATTTGGACCAGGGGCATCTGAAAAGTAGTTAAGGTTAAGAAAGAGCATCGGAATTGGATTTTGTTCAGATGAAAGTAGTGGCCTTCAAGCTCGCCTCTCGGCTGATTTCCTAGCCATCTGAGGACATAGCAGGAAGCCAACCAGGCAAAACAGAAGTAGGCTTCCACCAAGAATCAAAGATGTCGAAGTTTAATGCGGAACTTCCGGCTTTCACAGGTGGGCGGCCGGGGGGGGCACAAATATTTAATGTTTAAGCTGCAGGTCGAGTATATTTTGTTACAACAGCCCAAGATTCAATACAAACCTGAAACAAATCACAATACTGCCAACCCTCAGAGTCTTTGTCAATGAAAAGATACTAAACCCTACCTCTTCACACATATCAAACGAGGCAGCATGTGTTTGTTTGGTTTTGATATTGTTGCTTGGGGTGTTGGCTTATTTGTTTGTTTGTCTTGTCTCACCAAGTAGCTGGTCTTTAATCCCCTATGTAGACCAGACCAAACTCACAGATATCTTCCTATTTCTACCTCCCCTGTGCTGCGTTTCCAAGTGTATGCCACCGTGCCTGGTCAAGGAAATGTGTGCTTTAAGAGCTCTGCAAATGGTCAGGCGTTAAAGAAGGACCTCATCACTCATCAGCCTCCTCTGTGCTCTCACGTTTTCCCCTTGCATGAACCAACCATTTATAACACTCTATTTCGATGGGATTGCTTGTATCTGTCTCTACCGTTAGAATCCAAAACCCTGTGGCCAAGGCCCCAAGCTCGTCTTTGCATACAGTTACTGGGCAGGAAAGGAGCACAGAACAACCTCAGCGGGTATCAGATGCCTTTTCTCGGTGTCTTCTAACACTTCTGTACCTACTTCCATCACTTAGCAGGAGGCTTTCCTAGTTTTGGTGTTTTTCTAACCTGTTAGGCTGTAGGCCCTCAGATGGTAGAGACTACATATTGCCTTTACTCTATCCCTACGACTCTTTCAATGCCCAACACCTAGGAGCAATTCTTTGAAAACTTATAAAAGGTAGACAGTGATTAATTTGTATGGAAGTCCCGTCGTTGAATTCACAGCTGCCTTGCATTTAGTCCACCACCTCCAGAACAAGCTGAACACGACTCATGCCACTGGGTCATTTCTTACAGGGCTCCTGAAAGGTCCCAGCTCATGCGACTCTTTTATTCTACTGCAACCAGAAAAGTATCTGAATGTACCATTTCATTGTACAAATCAATACTATCCCCCAGAGAACCAAGACTAGTCATTTATACTAATGACAGTTGCTATGCAACCACCCTCCAAGGCTTGGTTGTCAGATTCAGGACTAGGCAGTGATTTTTCCCACCTGAAAAGGACAATGGTCTCTAAGGGGGAAAATATATCATTACACAGTAACTCTGTCTTCTTGCAAAAAAAGAAACTTAACCGTATCAGAAATGATATGCATATAAAATACTTGTACAAATTGAGGTGTGTAGCTACTAGACCCTTAAACACAAGTTTATAAACATTTATGACTTATATACTTTTATACACAGTATATAACTGATACGTTTTTCTTTATGCTAACAAGAGAGTAAAATAATTTTTTCATTCCAAAAACGTTCCCTAATAACTCGTTTTTGCTTTGCTTTGCTTTGTTCGTGGCTCTGGGGATCAAACTCAATGCCGCAAGGCCCCAAGTATACAAGACAAGCATCCGTGTTTTGTCATTTTCCACTTCTTTTTACAAAATAAACTTTTAAAGTACACTGATACTTTCTGGATGCAAGAGAAAACCTCAGAAATAAGATAAACTTAAAAAAAGATAAGGCTATAATCAAATGCCCTATGTAAACCACAGTTAGCTTTTGCTGTGTGGGCTTCCAGATGTTCCAAGTAGGAACTTGTAGATAGTTTGGACACTCCTTTACTTTGAAATTTCACAGAATTCCATGGATGTCTTTCTGGATCAACATATGTTATTATTTTTAACACAACATGACATGATTATGTTTAAATATATCATAATGTGATTGCTTTCTTGTGGTGTACATTTTTTCACCATGATAGTTATAACGTTATATTGCATATTTTTCTAACTTCATCTAATTGTTTTAATAAGATTTATTTTATGGACCAGATCAAAGACTATACACTTATTTGAATTAAGCAATTTAGAACACTTAGAATTTTTTTTAAGCTAACAGTATGCATTTGTCTCCCAGAGAAAGATTTTTGAGATAGAACAAGTGAAATTTTAGCATAACTTAAAATTGCTTTCAAATAGTTATTAAGGGACTTTTGGGGATCCAGTATAATAAGGTAATTTTGGTCTTCCAAAATTCATTTTGCTGTATAACAACACAGTTTACATCTTCCAACCTGGGCATATCTATGGCATTACTCTTTCCCACCATAATGCTTCCCCACTCTTCTGTCTACTTGGGTGTTAACTGTCAAACAATAGTGTAATTGAGTGCTCAGACTTAGCTTGGCTTGTTTCTAGCCAGCTTTTCTTAGCTTAAATTATACTATCTACCTTTTGACTATGGGTTTTTATGCTTCTCTACTCTATATACCTTTCTTTCCTTCTTACTCGGTAGCTGGCCGTGCGACTGGATGGCTGGCCCCTGGCGTCCTCCCTCCTTCTCCTTTTCTCAATCCTCCTTTTTCTTCTTCCTCAGCTTAGATTTCTTCTCCAGTTTATTCTCTCTGCCTGATAGCCCCGCCTTTCCTTTCTCCTGCCTCACTATGGTCATTCAGTTCTTTATTAGACCAAATACTAGACCAATCAGGTGTTTTAAATAGGTAAAGTAACACAGCTTTACAGAGTTAAACAAATGCAATATAAAAGAAAGCAACATGTCTTTTCATCATTAAACAAATATTCCACAGCATAAAAGAATGTAACACATCCTTAACTAATAGCTACAATATGCAAGAAGTGATGACCAACTTCCTTGGGACAGCTAGAACTGAACTAAATTGAACTCTGGATCAATAAGTTCCACGTATTTTCAGTGGGGTGGTTATCAATGTGTTCCCACAATCCCAACCCAAGCCCTAGTGCTGAGACTTTACTTCCTTGAATTTTCTCACAAACACACAGTAGTTTTTTTTTAATTCAACCTACAGTGACTTGACCACTGGAACTAGTGGTTAGTCCATTTTCAGTGAAGATATGAAATCCTAAGAAACCACTGCTACAACCCAGAAGGTTTTGGATAAGGACTGGACCCTGGCTGGAAAAGAGTCCCTACCTGGCTCAGCTCTTAGCTTGCTTTATAATTTCAGGTGTAAGATCTTCTGTGTTTATTTTCCAGTTCCTCCTCTTCAAAATGGGAATAAATCCTATGACACTCACATGCTTGGTATGAAAGTAGACAGAATACAGTGTACATCCATGTTTCAACATGGTCCCCAATTGTGATAACGTAAAATGTTATCTTGAACATGTGCAGCCCGTCTTTGGGTGACCCTTGGTGCCTCAGTTATGGGAGGGATCAAATGGGGATAAAGAAGGAAGGAGAAAGAAAATTGGCTCAAGGTGCATTATTAGCTGGATGGAGCGAGGACGCCTAAGCTGCCCAAGCACTGGAGCTGGTTCCTGGTCGTGTTATTCTATGCTCTTAAACTCCCCCGCATACTCGAGCGGCTGCCAAAACACATAAACCTCTTTGAATTACACTCCTTCTCTTACAGGAGCAATTGACTGCAGTTGGATGTGATTTTCCTTTGTTTGTTTTAATTTATAGATGACCAGGAATGCTGGCCTGCCTCCTTTTATTTAAACGCCCACTGTTCTTCTATTAAGGTTGCTCACTCTTCTAGGGTCTTAGTTTTCTGGTATTTTCCCCCCTCTAAGAATAGTTGTGGTTAGGGACTGCTCCAAGCACAGCCCCAGATCGTTGGGCTCATTAAAGACATTCAGTAACTCTCAGACTGGAGCAATAAATCACTGGTCCAGGAAGGGAGAGTGGGTGTGGAGGGCAGTTGGAGATCCTTCAGTTGGCTTCAGAAGGGCTTCATGGGTCTGCGTCCAGGATGACAGCCCCTATAAATGAGAAATGCTTCAGACATGCAAAGGGGAAGATACCAAGCCTTATAAATACACTTTCCATCTGTCAACCAACACCTGTTATGCTGAAAACCTTGCTGGCAGGGGAAGGAGAGAAGCAACCCTACTCAAAGAGAAGGCTGTAAGCCGAGAGTCACCCAAAATCCCTGAAAATGGCTTCTCGCACTCTCCCCTCCCAATCAAGAGGGAGCTATTGACTGAAGTCAATTCTGTGGCTACATCTCAGTCCTAAGCAGAGCAACAGAGCAACTTCACTTTTTCTGACTTCACTATCAGTAGAGGACTAGATGTTAAAGACTGGCATCTCCCCAAACAGAAAGAATGTGTGATGGAGGGAAACAAATTACTCCTTTTCTTGTTGGAGAGTTCTAGCGCATAATAGGGCCCTGAAGTCCTGCGATCAAGAATGTGTTGATCTAAAACATGAAATTTCTTTTGGGCTGGAGAGATGACTCAGTGGTTAAGAGTACTGGCTGCTGCCCTTCCAGCCAGCCCAGGTTCAGGTCCCAACACCCACATGGCAGCTCACAACTGTCCGTAACTCCAGTCCCAGATGTGAGGATTCGACACCCTCACACAGACATACATGCAAGTAAAACACATAAAGTAAATAAATAAGATAGTCTTTAAAAATTTAAAATATAGCATTTCTCAACTTTGGCCACCACTGTTAATGCGCCTGTATATCACCTATTAGGAAACATGTGGCAGGAAGCCCCGTGTCCTGGAGGGAAAGCTGCATTGAGCCCCTTCGGCTCTGTTTGGTTGGAAGAAAAAGACAAGTTCCCTTCCAATGAAAACCTCCTCGCTCTGATTCCTATCTAGAACATGGCTGATATCCCAAGAACTTCAGTCCCTGGGTTAGAAACAGTGCCACCTATGTCGACCATCTCCTTGTCCCCCGTGTCCACATTCCACTGCCTCTCAGCTTTCTCCTGCCACATCTTCTGAGGGAAGGCTAGCTGACAGCTTCACGCGGACTCGTGGCACACAGCAGAACAATTCAGATGGAGGCCAGCCAAAGAAATCTGTGAGGCAGATGATAATGTCAAATATACATTCAGCACATTTTTCTGTGGTTCTTAAATGGAAAGAGAGATTTCTCCACTTTTAAACCTTCTGTTCATAATTTTTAACAAATGAGCTTCTTGGAATAAGTACATTTGAGATGGGAGGGGGAAAGATCTACACATAAAAAAATTTAATTAAAGAGCGTATCTGAAAGAAAAAATGCCAGTCAACGTGCAAGACCCAACTGAGGAATGCCCCTAAGTCTATCTGTGGGAAATCATTCACAGTGTATTGTTGAGTGACGAAGCAAAGCGCAGAACAGTATAAACACTTTTGTGAATGCAGTAGGCCTGGTGTTTGTTGAAAGAACAAATAAGTATCCAAGGAGAATGGAAGAATTTACACCAAAGAGACTGGAGAAATGACTCAAAAGTTAAAAACACTAGCTGCTCTTCAAGGGGACACTGACTTGGTTTCTAACACACACATGCTGACTCACGACCATCTGTAACACCAGTTCCAGGAGATCCAGTGTCCTCTTCTGGCCTCCACAGACACCAGGCGTGCATGTGGTGCACAGATACGCACGTAAGCCCAACACCCACACAAATAAAATAATAAATATTTGAGAAATTTTAAAGAATCAAATTGACAGATCTTGTTCCTTCTTATCCCCCCTCCTCTTTTCCTCCTTCTTTTTGTCCCATCTAATGGCTCTCAAATAAAAACAATTTTCTCATGCTGATGTGTGAGTGGTATGTGTGCATGTATATGTGTTCACATATGTGTGGGCACACAAGGATGTGCAATTATTCGTGTTTGTATGCGCATGCATGTGTGGAGGCCCTAGGTTGATGTTAGAATTTTTCTTTGATTACTCTTCCCCTTATACTTTTGAAGAAGAACCTCTCAGCCCAACCCAGGGCTCGTCAACATAGCCAGTCTTCCTAGGCAGCTTGCTCTACAGATCCTCTTTCCCATCTCCCAGCATGCTCCATTTAGTGGACTCTGGGGATCCAAACTGTGGTCCTTTTGCTCACATGGCAAGTACTTTAACTCCTGAGTCATCACCAAAGTCCCTTTAGTAATCAGAGTTTTCTAGAGGAGCAAAACTGATAGAATAGAATAGAATAGAATAGAATAGAATAGAATAGAATAGAATAGAATAGAATAGAATGATAAATAGAGATACATACGATAGAATATTTATATAATAATTTATATCTATTTTTATTTTATCCTATCATAATCTATTTATAATTTATTAGAGTGGCTTACAGACTGTGATCAAACTAGTCCAACAATGGCTATCTCCCAAAAGAAAGGCCAAGACTCTGGCATTTAAGACTAGATATCTCAGTTGGTCTTCAGTCTATGTTAGAATCCCAAAGAAGTAGGTTGTATACCAGCAAAAGAATGCCTCAGCAGCAGAAAGTTAAACTTGCCAGGGAAAGTGAAGGTAAGCAAACGAAAAGCAAATCTCTCTGCCTCCACATTCTTTTCTGTGGGCTGCCACCAGAAGGTGCAGCCCAGATTTAGGGTAGGTTTTCCCACCTCAAATGATCCAATAATGAAAATTCTTAACGTTCATGCCCCATTGATTGGGCTTTAGTTCATTCCAGATGTAGTCAAGTTGACATCCAAGATCAGCTATCACAGCTCCCCAAAGCAATATCTTTCAAAAGTTCCAGTCTACCACCGATGTATAATGTGCAAAAGTATTCAAGGATGGTGGGAAGCGATTTTCCTCATAGGTAAGACAAATCATGACAGCAGACTGTGTGGACCACTATTTGTGAAGTGAGAGACAATGGCCTCCATGGTACTTAATGTAAGATACACATAGTAATACACAATAACTTGCCATATACAGGATAATCAATAAAGGGCCAACAGCAAGTCATGATTCTAAAGACTGAAGACAACTAGCATGTTCTAAGCCACAATAAGAAACCTACAATGAGATCCCCCATCTTCATGCTCAGTACAAAGCCACCGGCGCACCTCCATGGCCGTCATCTCTGCTTACCAGCTGGAGTCCCAGACTTCTTTTAGAATACCATTTCTTAATCACTCCAGAGAATTCCTTGGACTGTAATTCAAGTGTCTACTACTTGGTAGGTCTTTGGACTGAGTTCCTTAAGATATCATAAATAAAGAGATAGGGAGTTGTCACGTCTACATATCTGAGAGTTGACATGCCTGCGGGAACCAGAGAATGAAGAAAGAACAGAAACACATTCAGAAAAGCTGGAATCAGATGGGATGTGCTCGCTTGGATGGAGCGTTTCCATGGCAACCCAGAACCTTGGCTAGTTGTTGGGGGATGGGATGTTGCAACTAGTTTTGGTAGAAAGTCTCTATGGGAACAGTCTTAGACAGCATTCATGGAGCGGAAGAAGCTGTGTTTGCTGGTTTGGGCACACACTGTCAACACTCACACTCAGACCAGAGGAAGACTTTGCCATCCCTCCAAACCTCACCCATGGAAGACTCTCTTCCATGCCTCACCCATTGCCTCTCTCGTTGGATCTGAAGCAGTGATTCTCTTGATATGGCTGTGCTGATGTCAACAATACACATTTCCTCAGGACTTCACCCACTCCCTACAAATTCACTCAGGGATTCCTTGATTCCCCACAAAAAGTCTCTTACATGATGATGGCCTCTACTTGCCCTCTCCTGTCCTCCCCTGCTGAATACTTTCTCTTCATCACCTACTGTTCCCCCAAGACTTGAAGTCACCCACAAATCACCCAGCTCTCCCTGACCCCACTACAACCACCGGCCATGGGCACAGCATCTGCCCCTTGGCATCCTGCTCCTTACCCCATAGCAGAGGCAAGTCAGGGAGTCTCTCTGGTTCTCATCTCTGTGTCACAGCCACTTTGTCCATGAGTAGATGGAGTGGAGGGCATCAGGGACCAGAGGCTTAGAAAGAAAGTCTCATCTCAGGGCAAGGAAACTTGGAGAGCAAAGCTTTGTCTATGATAAGAAGGGCAGGCTCACATCATATCTGAATTCTAATGTTATCCTGATCTGCTCAATAAGGCTCAACATGCCAAAATTCTTCACACAAAATGATTTTTTAAATCAGATTTTGCTCATTCTGGTTTCCTTCAGACCCCCCACAAAGTATCTCAGAAAGCACAATACATATCAAAATTGCAAAAAAAACAAAAATAGACAGCATTCACATGCTTTTCCCATAAGACTCTTAGGCTCCAAGCAAAACAAAAAATATAGCTAAATCTTATTCCCTGAAGGTGTACAAACACACCCGACTTATGGACACAGACAAAAAGGAAAATGTTCCTAATTCTGACCTCGTCTCAGCCCTGACAGAGACAAAATGCCTGTCACAAAGTCCAAATAAGATTTTTGTCCAAAATTCCCACTGAAGATTAGGGGAAGCCTCAGTAATCTCCTCTACGGTGCACACACACACACACACACACACACACACACACACACACACACAGACACACACCACATCACAAGGGAAAAAAACAGGTTCATGGTCACTCCAGGCAGCCACAAAACCATTACTTAAGCTGATATCTCAACCTCTGACTTTTAATTCAGTCAAATGGGAGGCCAAAACCCTAACGCTGAAACGGAACAGCAGGGATAGCATGCTATGCGTCATTATAGACAGTTGATCAACTTGATCTCAGGTCTAACCTGGGTTTTCTTTTGCAAATGCCACTCACTTTTGTTCCTACTCGTCTCCACACTGCACAGATGGATTAACTGAGGCTCAGGGAGCCAGCCTGCACGAGCCTGGAGAGATGGCTCTGTGGAGGAAGGGCTTGCTGTACAAACAGAAGACCTGAGTTTGGGTTTCGTGCATCTGTGTGAAAATGTGGTGTGCCATGCACATCTGTAATCTCAAATTGGGGTGGGGGGACAGAGACAGAAGGTTCCTTGAGACTTTGTTGCCAATCAGTCTATCCAAACCAGTGAATTGCAGATTCAGTGTGAGGTTCTTTCTCAAAAATAAGATATAGAGTGAGGTATTGGTGTGGGAGGTCCTTCCGTCTGTGTATTGCTTTTCTTGGTTAATGAATAAAGAAACTGCCTTGGCCTGTTGATAGGGCAGAACTTAGGTAGATGGAGAAGATGGAACTGAATGCAGGGAGGAAGAAGGGCAGAGTCAGGGAGAAGCCATGTAGCCATGGAGACAGATGCTGGGAATTTTACCTGGTAAGCCACAGCCTCATGGTGATATACAGATTAAAAGAAATAGGTTAAATTAAAATGAGTTATATTAATAAGAAGCTAGAGATAGTGAGCCAAGCAGTGTTTTGATTAACACAGTTTTTGTGTGATTATTTCGGGTGTAATCTAGCCAGGCGGCCAGGAAGAACAAGCGGATCCCTCCCTCCAACAAAGTATACAACATTGAACTCTAGCATGCATATGCAGGCATGTACACCAGTACATACACAGACACACACACAAACAGACACACACACAAGTAGTTTTATCTAATTTAAAAATAAAAGTCCTTCCTCAAATCATAAAATTTGAACATGGGTATAGGGATTAATACCATCAACTTGATAGACTCTAGACTCACCATGGAGACATTTCTCTGAGCATACCTATGAGGGAGTACTAATATAGATTTATCGATGTGGAAAGACTCACCCTAAATTTGGACAAAACCATTTTATGGGTTGGAGTCCTGGAATGGATAAAAAGGAGAAAGCAAGTTGAGTGATACCATCATCACTTTCTGCTTCCTGAGTACAGATGCAATGTGACCTGATGCCTCAAACTTCTGCCACCCAGACTTCATTGCTGTGGTGTTTAGATGAAAATGGATCCCACAGGCTCATAGGGAGTGATGCTATTAGGAGGTGTGGCCTTGTTGGAGGAAGTATGTCACTGGGTGGGCTTTGAGGTCTCAGCTGCTCAAGTCAGGCCCAGTGTCGTTCTCCCTTCCTGCTGTCTATTGATCCAGATGTAGAACTCTCAGCTACCTCTCCAGCGCCATGTCTGCCTCTGCGCTGCCATGCTTTCTGCCATGATAAAAATGGACTAAACCTCTGAAACTATAAGTCAGCCCATTAAATGTTTTCTTTTCTAAGAGCTGCCATGATCATTATGTCACTTCACAACAATAGAAACTACATCCAACTAAGACAAAAACCTTGCTGGAGTGTGCCTTGAAACTGTGAGCCAAACCAATTCCTTCCTTCCTTAGGTTGTTTCTGGAGATATTTGCTGCCAGGAAACAAGTTAGGAACAGCAGTCGAGCCAGAATTCTGGCGAAGCCAGTTTGACCTCGCAGCATATTTTCCCCTCTACTAAGTTTTCAGGAAGCCAGAGAATGCTGAGTAGATGAAAGCCCTGACATTTAAACACAAAATAGTTACTTAGTAAATGAGTTTCCAAAAGTATCGTCTGAGGGGGTTGATTGGAGAGGTGATTCAGTGGATAAGAGCACTTGCTTCTCTTTCAGAGGACCTGAGGTCAGTGTTCAGCACCCATGTCAGGTCTGTAACTCCATCTCCCAGGGATTCGATCTCTGACCTCTGAAAGCACCTGCACTCACACAACCGCTGCATTTGTGCACATGTGCGCGCACACACACACACACACACACACACACACACACACACTAGTAAAAATAACAAAAATAAAATCTTCTTTAAAAATCAACATAGAAAGTAGCCGAACAAAGGCACCAATAGACGTGCTAAGAGAGAAAGCCCTCACAAAGAACTACAGACAGCTAGGCATGCTGAGAGCAGTAGAAAAAGTCTTCCCCAGGGACCAGCATACCAGCTGGGTATCGGATACCAAGAGGTCGACTCCGAAGCTATCGACATACAAGTAACATAGCACTCTAAAAACTGAGCAAGTTATACGCATATATTTAGAAATGTTGGTGTGTATTCGTTTGTGTAGGTGTGTGGGCAAGCACACACATGTGCGCATACACATGCACATATGAATGTAACAACAATTAGAAAAAAGCCCAGGCATTTGAATGAGAGCAAGAAAGATACATGGGAGGGATAGGAGGGAGAAAAAAGAAGGAGGGAAATGGTATAATTATCTCAAAGAAATTAAAAATTATTTTTTAAAAAGAAAGAAATGTGCAGACCTTCCTCCAAAAAAAAAAGAGCTCTTAGAGATCCAGAATCCTCATATTAAAAGTAATCCCAAATAAAGCAGTGCTCCAACTTCTCAAAATTGCTGCACTGTTCATCAGTTATGTAGAAGGATGATAGAGGAGCCCCGTTAGAGTTCCAGTGTGCCTGCCCACCACAGAGTGCTGTTTGAACACTTGCTCCCCAGCTGGTGGTGTTCTTCAGGGAAGTTGTGGAACCTTTAGGGTGGGAGACAGTCATTCGAGGGCAGGCAGCGACAGTTACGACTCATTCAGCGTTTGGCCTGAGCTCACTATTTGCTAGTTGACCATGATGTGAATAATCCATAAACTCCCATGAACACCAATCAAGTCTCAATACCATGCTATCACTGCCATAATAAACTGTGTTTCCTAAAACAGTAAGCCAAAGTATTTCCTCCCTTAAGCTGCTTTCACTAAGAGTCCTCTCACAGTGACGAGAAAAATAACCACACAGTGCCTATGGAAGTAGGAAATGATTACAGTTAGGCAACTTCAGAGGAAAAAGTAATATGCCTACAGGTGACAAGAACATTCCAAATGTCAAATAGCAATTCCTAAAGAAGGATGATAAACTGTCTTTTTAATCAATAGATAAATAATTTCCTTTGATTCCTGGAGACAAAAAATGTAGAAAGCACAAATCAATTCAACTCTTCCATAGACTATTAAAAGATAAGATACTTTTGCAAAAATGCTATGGTACTTATACTTTGTAACATGCCAAAAGAAGACTTCAATATTCAATGGAGAAAGGTTCTAGACTTTCCAATACATTTTGGCTGAAAAACGCACAGATAGATTTAGGGCCCTGTGTTTATACATGGTGAGAGATCGTATGTGTGTCACCCAACATGACTGAACAAATTTTTTATTCACATTGCAGTTAGTTGAAATACATAAGATTTGTTCTGAGGGTTTTTTTAATTAAGAACTACAAAATAGTAAACATATCTTCTGTTCTAGAAGACAAGACGATCTCTCTTCTAAGGTTTCTTTCCCCGTTTCCTCCTAGGAACATTTCTGTCAGTTCTTAACCAAAAAGAGTTGAGAGAATGCAAGAGTAAAACCCAGTATCGTATCATTAGAGGTAATCACAGCAAACATTTGGCTGTATTTTCTAGCTTGACTACAT